TTAATTAGTAACCGGTTCTATGGCAGATCAAATTATCATGGTTTTCCAAGAAGAAACCATGTAATTAATTAGGTATGTTTACAACAAAGATGTTGAATTGGTGATGTGAGAGTACGATCCACGCACTCTGCTAAACGGAAGGTGGGAGGTTGAGATGGAGAGCAGAAATTCAGGGCATTTGGACAATTAGGAAGGTTCTGATTCTAGTTGAGCGCTGGGCTTTCTTGACTTGACCTTAATCAAATTTGTTTTTATTTTCATTTATTTTTTTAAGAAAAAAGAAAAAAGAAAAAAAAAAATCAAACTGGTTGCTGGTTTTGTCGTCAATAGGCCCTCACCTACCACAGGTTTTGTTTTCTATTTCAACACACCATGAATGAGTGGTGTGTGAAAGGTGTAGCAGTTCCCCAACAAACTGCAAAGCTCTAGTTCAAAGGGATGCAAGAATTCTATAGTGAGGAACTTATATATGTTCCTTATGTGAGATTTTATCTTTTAATCGTTGGATTAAATTAGTTAGTTGTTGAATCAAATTGGTTAGTCTGATACCAAGGTGGTTGGTGTGAGTGGTTCGGCACTCTCATTCCTTAAGAGAAGGTCAGGGGTTCGATCCCTGCTCTCGTATGGAGTCACCACTTTGGCCAGCACTTTACCCCTTACGGGCCGACCCGGTGTGAGCGGGGATTAGTCTGGGTTGTGGTTAAGGCTTAAAGGTGCCACCCATAGTTGGGGCCCATCCAGGACCACCTCGTGGTTCAAACCAAAAAAAATTGGTTAGTCTGATTCAACAATTAAAAAATATGATCTCAACTAAGGGCCATATATAAAGTTCTCGCTATAGAATGACTCGAAAGAAATAACAAGATTTTTTGGGTTTCCAAAAGCAACCTGGCTTATTTAGTTGAAAGGCCCAAATTTTTAAGTCCGAAAATGAAATTGACCAACCCAATGGGTTGAATCACTCTCATTAGCATTCTGACAATTTCAAGCTTAGAATTTCGAATTGGTTTTCAAAGTGGGCCTTCAAATTGGTCCAAATAGAAAAATGACTAGTTTTCCCATTTCTTAGTATGTTTTACAAGAATCTTTGTATACTCTGTCAAGATTTTGTTAGCATCAAAGATCAAGCATATATTTACTATACAATTAATTGATGTATAAGAGATTCTTTAACCAATCAACCGGAGGTAGGGATTTAAACATGAGACTTCTTTTAATATTGAGAAAAGAAATATTGTTGGACTATAAATTAGTTCATAATACATAAATTATTTGTTTGATTTATAATTAGAGGTGACTTAGTTTAAGTTTTTAAGCTCACAATTTATGTTAGTAAACTTTTTGTTTGATCATCAATATATGTTAGTAACTTGAACATGACACAATTAGAATTACTAAACTTGTCGGATTACCTGACTACTACTCAACATAAAAAACAATTCGTTAACATCGGTTTGCCACCCATAAGAGTTATTTTATTGTCACCTCTCTCTCTCTCTCTTTAAGAGCATCTCTAGCGCTGGGGCTTTGCCCCGGCAACAGCCCCCTCCCCCCCAAGCCATGTTTCATGCTACATCGCAGGAAATCTAGTCTGGGCAAGTCCACAGGCAGAAATTGACTGGGCTGTTGCCCGCGGGCTGCTGACGTCAGCAGCTGATTTTTAAATATTTTTTTACTGTTGGACCTACTAGCCCACATTGCCCAATGGTTACAAGCCACGTGGCTTCTCCTGGAGCCTCTGATCAAAAAATCTTGCACAATCCAACGGTTGTCCAATTTTTGGCTTAAAAAAATTGAAAAAAATATCAAAAAATTCTGGAAATTTTTTTTATACATACCTACCAATATTATTTACTTTCCACACCAAATTTAATTTCAAAATTTTATCCGAAAATGTTATCTTGATTTTTAGGTGAGAATTTTAGGATAAATATTAATACTTGGGAATCGAAAATCTTATTTGAAAAGCTTATCAAAATCAATGGTTTAAGTATAAAAAATAAAAAATAAATTTAAGTGAATAGTAATTGCCTTAGCCTTAGCCTTTTGGGGTGGAACTACAAATGGCAAGGCTGACACTATTCACTTGAATAGTGGTAGCCCTTGCCTTAGCCTTAGCCCTTTGGGGTGGAGATGCTCTAACAAATGACCTTTTTGTAGCGCCATCGTGGTGACGGGGTTTTCAGTTGTTTCGATGTAGCTGCCACCATCTGGTACCTGTTTGTCTTGAATCCAAACTACTTTGTTGGATTGACACATCTCCTAGTTCTGATCAACAAACATATGTAGCAAGTTCTAGGGTCGTCTCCAGTCATAGAGCTAAATGTAGTCTAAGATTAAAAATTTAGCTCTCCAAAATATTAATTTTTTAAAGAACAGTGCAAGGCCAAATTTTTCCATCTCCAGCCATGCATGACTATATTTTAGGGTCCTTCATATTTTATTATTTTGAGAAAAACTATGGTACAACACTTATACATTCGACAACTATGTATTGTTTAATTTAATTAAACAACTATTTAGAGACAATATTCCATATATGATAAGATTTCTGATAAAATTTTGTGTCCATGTGGCATGTCTTATGCTGAAGGAATTTTAATAATTTTTCAGGCTATGATTTTTGAGTGACACGTGTTGAATTTTTTATATAATTTTTTGTTAAATAACAAGCCCATACCAGGCAAAACCAGCCACCCTAGCCCCCTACCCATCCTTCTTGTTCATCCTCAATATCTCCCTCATCTTCCCTCCATAATGCATCAAGATTCGACGGCGGAGATGCCTTTGAACTCTCCTCTGCCGCCTAGGCTCGATTCTCTGAGGCATCAGACTACCGTTTTGTAAAACAAGGAATTAGTGTCTTCCTGTGACCCTTGCCTGGTCCACATCGCCATGACTCTCGACTTAGTATCTTAGAGGATCCGTATATGAAATTGAAGTTACTCAAGCACACTTCTTGCCCCGAAAATGTCTTTCTTCCACTTTTGTCCCCACTAGGGTTTCTTAGATTTTTTGAATTTTGCTTAGATTTGCACCAATGATGTCGTCTTAATTTCATTGGGCTTTAATCAAATTTTCAATTGGGTTGGGTGCATATCTGGGAGAAGATGGGCATATAGGTGCAAGGGTGGATAAATGGATTTGTAGAGGTTATCTCCTTCCATTAGGTAGCGATCGGTGGGGTGGATTGTGGCAAGGGATAGGGGTGGGTGTTCTTTCTTAGAGTAATTGATGGACGGTGGATGTTGCTGGGAAGACGGTGTAGGCCGATGGGGACTGATGGTGGGGGTATGGAGTCCAAGTCAAAAAAATAAAGATTTTTTTGTTGTTTTTTAATTATTTAATTTTAAAAACAATTTTAGGAAAAAAGTACAATAATTTATTATTGGATTAACTACAGTAAACCCCCTAAACTATGGGGGTCATTACAAACTCATCCCAACCTTTAAAAACTTGTTGACCTATCCCCCAACTTCATGGAACCTTTCAAAATACACCATCAATTAGAAAAATTGTTAAAAATTCTATTAACTGTTGTTGTGGTAAAATAGGGTTCCAATTTTAAGCTGATATGGCACAAAAAATTAATAAAAAATCTCAAAATTTTAATAAACTAAGTAAAAACTAAAAAAATTAATTAAATAACAAAAACTTTAAAAGTATTAATTAAATAACAAAACTTAAAAAATTAATAAAATAACAAAACTTAAAAAATTAATAAAATAACAAAACTTAAAAAAAAAAAAAAAAAAAAACCCAAAACTCAACATTGCTCTCTCTCTCTCTCTCTCTCTCTCTCTCTCTCTCTCTCTCTCCACCCATCCTCCACACCAAGAACCCATATTCACCCTTCTCTATGCTCATCTCAATCTCTCCTCTACCCCTCTCTCTTTGTCTCTCGCGGACCCAGCCCAGCCCTAACCCCACTGTCAACGCACTCCGCCCCTCCTCTTTCTCTATGTCTTCATCTCTCTCCATTTCTATGTGGGGTTGGCTATTTGAGGAGGAGATTTGAGCGTCGTTGGAGAGGTTGTGGGGTTTGTGTTCGAGACAACGTCGGCATCTGGGTGTGGTGAGAAATCGATCGGCGAGGGTGGATCAAGTGTTTATTGATTTTGTATGATTTTGGGGTCAGGGTCTAGGGTGATGGGGTCGGCAAAGTTGAGGGATATCTGGATGCCTAGAGGAGGGTGGGTGTGGGGTGTCAGGGTCTAATATTATCAACTTTCAACCAAAAATAAAAAATGAGGTTGAGGTTGGGGTTGGCTCAGAAATTGTAGATGCTGGGCTAGGGTGTTGGGTGGACAAATTGAGAGAGAGAGAGAGAGAGAGAGAGAGAGAGAGAGGGATAGGCGAGTTGGCATCGACGACGGTTCTGGCAGGAAAGCATCGAAAGCCTCGATGTTTGGGTCGCGGAGTTAGGTCAGGTACGATGAGCTTGGGGGGGTGAGTTGGGTTTGAGCTTTTTGTTTCTTTACTTTTTCTTTTTTATTTTTATTTTTCTATTTTAATTTGATTTGATTTTTAGTTATTTTAAAGATGATTTTTTATTACTTTTTTTGGCTATGTGGAACCTTGTTTTGCCACATTAGCAGTTAACATAATTTTTAACGGTTTTTCTAATAGAGGGTGTATTTTGAAAGGTTTCATGAAGTTTGTGTATTGGTCAAACATGTCAATAAGCATTGGATATGAGTTTGAAATGACCCCCATATTTGTCCACATGGAAGCCCGCGTTATTAAAAAATAGAGCCCATATTCGCTACATTAGCATTTAATAGACCTACTAATGGTCTGATTGATAGTCAAGGCAATTTGTAGGTTTTCGAGGGAAATGAGTATATACTTGTAAATATCCCCAAAAGTAGATATGAACTTGAAAATAACTCTATAATTCGGGGGTTTTTATGTAGTTTGGTCTTTATTCATTCTAACCATTTGTCTGTCCAAACTCCGAAATAGAAAAGAAACGAAAAGAAAAGAAAAGAAAAGAAAAGAAAATCTTTTAGGAATTGTTTTGCACTGGAGAAGAGCGTGGCACTCATCGTGAGGCGAGCGAGTAAAGATAACCCTGAGCAGCAGCCCGTCCACAGCTCCCAAAAACAACAAACCAAAAAAACCAAGAATCGGAGAGAGAAAGAGCATTAAAGAACAAAGTGCCTTGTAATTTGTATGGTCTGAAACAAACATGGCTGCGGCGGGTGTCAAGATAGGAACCGGTTTCGAGACCGTTCCGACTCACCGAGTCACCACCATGTCCATTTCCTCTCTCCTTCCTCCTTCTCCTCACCACACTCTCTTCTTCCTCAGAACCCGCCCTCGCCCCCTCTCTCTCCCTCTCCTCTCTCCTCCACGCTCACGCCCTCACTCTCTCCCTCTCCGAGCTTCCTCCGAGTCTCCTCCTACCTCTCAAGGTGCTCCCTCCCTCCCTCTCTCTCCCTCTCTGTATACGCTTGCATGTTTTTGAACTTTGAAGTGGAAGTTCAGTTTGCAGTGTTCTTATGGTTGATTTAGTTTGTGGGTTTCAATCGTTGTACAACTTGATGAAGATGGTTTGTTTGTTTGATTTGTTTTTGCGCAGCAAATGCAATCGAGAATGTGGTGATAATTGGGTCAGGTCCAGCTGGATTCACAGCAGCAATATACGCAGCTCGAGCCAATTTGAAGCCTCTGGTGTTTGAAGGGTATCAATCGGGCCCGGGGGGGCAGTTGATGACCACTACTGAAGTTGAAAACTTTCCAGGATTCCCAGATGGGATTACTGGTCCTGATTTAATGGACAGGTAAACCAACCAAGTTTATGATTTTATGGAATTACCGGTCCTGACTTGTTTTGAATTCCAAAATCCAAGTTGTTCAGGTGGGAATTGTTAGGAAAGCTGCAATTTCGACTAAAGTGCTGCATAAGAAGCTCAGCATTGTTTGTTTTTGTGTTGTGCAGGATGCGGCGACAAGCCGAACGCTGGGGAGCAGAGTTGTACCAGGAAGATGTTGAGTCTATTGATGTCAAAACTAGACCTTTTACTGTGGAAAGTAGTGAGCGTAAGGTGATATATTATTTTGCACAAGTTTTGGTTTTATATATTTTTGTAATCTGTTTTAATTGGGTTCTTTCAAACTTCACAGAGGTGGCCCGTAAAAATGATTCTAATTGCTAGATGAATGTGGGTTTCCTTTGAAATGAAATTTTGAATAATTTTCTTGTCTCACTGACAATTCAAGCTGTGAAATTCTTTCATGTCAGAGAGGGGGGCATGAGTGCAAAATGAATTTTACATTCTTGTCTACGGCTATAAAGTAATATATGACTGGTAGCACAGTTAACTTTGTAAGTCTTCCATTTTTCTGCAATATTTATGAACATCTGAGTGGCTTCAAGTATGGACATCTGAAGTGCGGATTGGCTGAAACAATGCACAGGTTGATTAATCAACATGGCTGGCTGATCGATTGGCTTGCATAGTTTCAACCAGTCCACCTTCTTTTTACATGTATCCTCAAAGATCCTCTTACTCTGTTCCATTAATAAAACACTCATCATTTACTATAAAGAAATCACAAGTTATAAAAGAAACAAAAAGAAAAAGGTTCACTTTTGCTCAATGTTTAGATTTCTTTTCTTCATCTATAATCCACTATGCATCTCTTTCCAATATGGTAACATTTATCTTCTGATTGTATGCTGAATATTTTACTCATATCCTATTGGCCTTGAGTTTACCATATGTTAATTTTGTCCTTGTACTTCTAATCTGATTCTCAGTTTTGCATTTGCATTTCAGGTTAAGTGCCACAGTCTAATTTTTGCCACAGGAGCTACTGCAAAACGGCTTAGGATACCCCGTGAAGATGAATTTTGGAGTAGGGGAATTAGTGCTTGTGCAATTTGTGATGGAGCATCACCATTGTTTAAAGGGCAAGTTCTTGCTGTGGTTGGAGGGGGTGATACAGCAACAGAGGAAGCTTTATACCTCACAAAATATGCTCGTCATGTTCATCTACTTGTGCGTAGAAATCAACTAAGAGCTTCTAGAGCAATGCAAGATAGGTGAGTGTTGATGAAACCTATCTTAATATGATGTTCTGATGTTTTTATGCCACACCTTCTAAATTACACTTGTGTGGTTGGTCATTGTGGATAACCACATAAATATATACTAAGTGAAATGTTTCTTTTTGTGCTTTTTTCTCATCCTAATCACATTTGTCTTCCTCGGTGTCTCATGTCAGATGGATGGATGTATACCATAGTAAATTTTCTCTAAAAATTTTGTTTCATAATTTAAATTTGAGCATAGCAGAAAATTTTGTTTCATCATTCGTCCACTTATTCATCTGGATTTTGCTTGCTCCTCTACTTCCATATGCAACTTCGTTCACCTTCATGCAGCTACTTCATATGTCACCATCTATATATGTGTTCTATCATTATTTATATTTTTTCGTTTTGAATGTTTTCAAATTTGATTGTCACTGATATTATCTTTCCTTTAGTACATAGTACAATGGATATGCACATTGGTACTTGTTTTGTTGAATAATTAGTGAATGTACTGTATTTGACCATCACAAATGCTATAGGGACATTTTAGAAAAAGCAGAAGGAGAGAGAAAAATTTTAAAAGAAGCAAAAATGGACAAAAATGCCCTTATTTATTTTTAGATTTCCTAAGGAATCCAATACATTTGCATGTCTTTGATTTGAAAGTTGAGCGGTTTTTTTGTCTTTTTTGAAAAAGCTTTGGCTTTTTCCAAAAGTGAAATTTTTTTTATGTCTAAAACCTAAAAAACCTTTTATGTGTCTGATGATGACATTGCCTGTGAATGAGCTATTCTGTTGAGGCAGTTTCTAGTCTTCCTGGAAAGGATCTGAAGTTGTAAATTACTTCAATTGGTTTATAAAAAAATTTCTTCATTCATTCTTGTTATAAGCTTCTATCTTTTACCATCAAGCTTGCTTTACATCTATTTGCTTTTTGATCTAGAACAGAACTGCTTTTATTAAGCTGGAGTAGGAAATTAATGCTTTATAGCTCAAGAAATGTTGAACAGTTCATGTTAATTGTCTATTAAAACTGTGTATTCTCTATGTAATGCCATTGTTTTATAGCTCAGCTGCAATGGAATGTGCAGTGATTGGCAGTAGAATTTTCCTTGTTCTTTTATACCATTCCTCAGTTTTTTAATCTCAGGATAGTTATTTTTGTGTTCTAGATTCTGATTGCCTTCCTTGATGGTGATGAAATTTATACTAATGTATGTGTGAGTTTTCAACTCCCTGAATGTTTGTTTAACAGGTTGATTATCGCGAATGTTTCAGAGTGTACAACAACCCAAATGTCACCTTGCATTTCAACACAGAGACTGTGGACATCGTTAGCAATACGAAGGGCCAGATGTCTGGTATTTTAATTCGAAAACTTGATAGTGGGGAGGAATCTGTGCTTGAAGCAAAGGGGTTATTTTACGGTATTGGTCATTCACCAAATAGCCAGTTGTTGGAAGGCCAAGTTGAGCTTGACAGCTCTGGCTACATCTTAGTAGAAGAGGGTACTGCAAAAACTTCAGTTGAAGGTGTATTTGCTGCTGGAGATGTACAGGTAATGCTGCTAAAACTTCTCATTTTTTTTTTCTTTTTTAAATTTCTTCACTGTTTCTTAGTTTTTAAACAACAGAAAAGTAATGTACAAAGAATTATTAAGCACATCCGATAGGCATGCCTGATGGGGATTTTTTTCTTTGTTGGGTTCTTTTTTTGTTGCATTACATCTGCTGGACCTGCTTCACATAAAAGTAGTTATATTGCTATTCAAATTCAAACTCGTGTTCTGCAGTCCAAAAAGAAAAAAAGAAAAAAAGAAAAAGAAAGAATGATTAAGCCGTTTTTCTGACCCAAACTTGTTCTTTGCTTGCAAAAATTCTCAGTTAGACTATCTGTAATCCCGTCTCTTTTATCTTATTAGGACCATGAATGGAGGCAAGCCGTAACTGCTGCAGGTTCTGGATGCATTGCCGCTTTATCAGTTGAGAGATATCTTGTGGGAAAAGATCTCATAATTGAGTTTCACCAGGTATTTAACTTCTAATGAAGTTTATATTTTCTACATGTCTCTAGAAATAATATATTATTTTCATCTGCTGGGTTTTACTTTATTCAGAGGTTTATTAAACCCATACAAGACCTGTAATTGTTTAGTGTCTTCTGGTTGTAAAAGAAATTATTGATAAGCATTCCAACATAAGTTCCATTTAGTTTTGATTTTTATTTGATAATAAAGTTCACTGCACAGTTTCATGTTTACTTAATTTTTTCCACCCCTTTGATAGGAAATATAATTATTTTGTCATTTGTCACTGAAATGAATTTTGACATTATTGGCCCCAAAAAAAAAAAAAGACTAAATTATTGAGGAATTTTTTTTTTGGTGGGGAATTATTGAGGAATTAATCTAATGACTCTTTGTTTTCTTGGTAAATGGATTGTGGAATTTTATTTGGATCAATAGTTGAATTTATAGCCTGTGATAGCACTGTTCATAAAAAACATCCTTCTCATCTATCTACATTTGACAGCCCAAAACTGAAGAGGCTAAGAAGGAACTCACAAGCAGGGATGTTCAAGAAGGTTTTGACATTACTCTTACAAAGCATAAGGGCCAGGCATGTGTTCTTTTACCTATAAGCTAGCATGATCTAATGATTTCATACTAACCAATCGACGATTTTATTTATTTATTTATTTTTTGGGTTAGATAGAAATATTATTAGTTCTGTTCTTAGTTAAGTTGTAGTAACTTTTTTTGTATTTGCTTTTCAGTATGCCCTACGAAAATTGTACCATGAAAGCCCAAGGCTTATATGTGTACTATATACAGCACCAACGTGTGGTCCGTGTAGGACTTTGAAGCCAATTCTTAGTAAGGTATACAAATTAACTTGTATAAATACCACATGATAATTTAAACTGTCATGATTACTATGATCTTTATACAGGATGTGAATTTGAATATGAATATTTTTTGGATACGCGTAATTCAATTTATTGTGTGCAAATCACGTCAAGCATTTGGCTTGGGCAAGTTTTAAGATGGTTGCACGTTGTTATAGTTGAAAATCGAAACCAGATTGTGGGAGATCACAATGTTCTTTCATGTGTGAGACACTGTATAAATCAGATATCTGCAAAATTAAGATGTCTTTGGAATGTACCTATAAGCTTATGTTACCAACTGGCACAAATACATGTAAGATTCTCATGCAGGAAGCATGATTGACTGTAGCCAGTGGCCTTTGGGCCTAGTGGCATTTTCTTCCTCGTAGAAATTGATGTGGGATTGTGGGAGGGTGAGTTCAGGATTTCAGTTCTTGGTAGTGTATGTTTACTTGGAAACTAGACGTTTGTCTGCCTTTGCAAATTTTCTGCGACGGTAAAACATGCTTTATCATATATATCCGTGAATATACATGACCAATAGAGTATGTGGTAATCTTAAGCTTTTTTTTTCTGATGGCAGGTGATAGATGAATACGACCAAAATGTACATTTTGTTGAAATTGATATTGAGGAAGATCCAGAAGTAGCAGAAGCAGCTGGAATTATGGGTACACCATGTGTTCAGTTCTTCAAAAATAAAGAAATGATCAGGTTGGTTTATCTCTGTCCATATTTTTGTCCCCAATGTGATCTATTCACCACATATAACTTATCTACAAGGTTGCTCGTTCCTTTGTGGCGCTAATTGTTCTATGCTTGTTTGTAGGACTATATCGGGGGTCAAAATGAAGAGCGAGTATAGACAATTTATTCAAGCAAATAAATGAGAAGATTCAAGACCCTTGGTTGCCTGATGTCCTCATTTTGTAGTTCAATTTTGTTCCTCCCAAACAGGCTAGCTCAATAACACCTTCAATTTTCACAATTGTATCTTGTATTGATCAACTACACTGTAGGTTATTATACATGCAGAGTTGCCAATGCATCGTTATGGTATTCGATTCTCTGATCCTGTGTTTCCGCCAATTTGTAAGTTTGGGAGGGTTTAGCTTTTCTGTTTTTATTTTTGCCTATCCCAATCCCATCTTTCCTTGCGAACTGTATTTATTTCATGTTGATAAACTAATAAAAGTTTCACTTTACACGGATGTTTAGTGTGATCACCCTTAATCTTATACAAAGTGATTTACAGTGAAATAAATAAGTGAATTAAAGAGGAAGAGTACAATTACACTATGGAAGTGGTGATCCAAGACCCTCTTGAGAAGCTAATGGATTAAGAGTTTTGTGCCTCTTGGAGGAGATCAATGGCTCCTTCCTCAATGGAGCTCTTTTGGCTTTGTGTTGAAAATTTGCCTTGGCATAAAGTCTGTGTGTAAAAAATGATGCTCTCTCCTTGTACTTGAGCACCATATAAAAGATAACTCTTACACAAACTAACAAGGCTGCCAGAGCAGCCAAATCCCACCACTTGGAAATTTTAGGGTTTATCCCATACATATAAAGGAGAACATCCTCACCTTTCAACTTCGGTTCGCCAGGAACTTGAGGGTCAAATTCAAGCCCAATCATGTCATTCTTGAACTGACCCTGAGATAAATTTTAATCAGCAATTAAATGCCAAATCTAAATTAATGGCATGGTAACAAATCTAATTAATGGCATGTTTATTTACCAGGAGCTGCAGAAGTCAGGAATCGGAAAACTTAGATAAGGTAATCAAGGAATTGGAATCATTCAAATACCCATTCCTGATTAGTAACATATCATAAGATGTAATTAAGGAGTGTTTGGAAGGTCTAATATACTTCTTAATACCTGTATTGACCATGCAGCATAGCTGAGGTAGGACATTGGGTAGCGCCAAAAGATCTTCGGAAGGTCAACCAGCCTCCGGAAGAGAAGAGATGGCATCATCATGAATACCTATGTGTATAAACATATTAGATGGTTGACACCTGTTTGGGAGTGCTTCTGGAAGGGCCAAAAGCATTTTTTGATAACTAAAAGTGCTTCTAACAACGTTTGGCAGAAAAGTTTAGAAGCACTTGCTATGTGCTTCTTCAGGAAGTAATGCTTTTCCACGAAGCACTTTAATTTTTTATGTAAGATTTTTATAATAAAATCGCTTTTGTTAGAAGCGCTTATGAGCAGAAGTACTTCCTAGAGAAGCAGTCCCAAACGAGCAGATATTCACGTGTCTACTAACAGATCATATATTATTGTATTAATTGATCACATTGCGTGACAGGTGATGTGTCCGTTATATTCATACAAAAGATGAGGTAAAAACAATGACATTAGGGTTACCTATACTCTTAGTTACAAACTAGTTACATGACATTTTTTCATCAATAAACAAATGAAGTTTAATGTAAGGCCACAAATCAGGAAACAAAATACCGTTGTACTAGTTGAGATGATATAGTTGATATCCCTAGCATTACTTAGTTGCAAAATACAGTTTTTGTTACGATTTTATAACTGAAAAGTGAGATTTCGCTTACTGTCACCGCAGCAGCTGCTCCTATGCCCATCAAGAGATTTGGAACTACGGCTGCAACGATTAAGGCAGTGCCTTCTGTGACAGCAATGCAGCAGAAGAGATTGAGACAAAAATACAAGTAATGAGAGAAGCCAGAATGGAATTTGACCATGTAGTATAGGATTGTTCCAGAAGAGAATGCCATGGCAACTACGAAAGGAAGCGAGGACAGGAAGTTGGAGAGAACAAACAGAGCATCCCCATAATGCCCACCAAGTCTTTCACGCCTAAACACCTGCAAACCAACTTTGAAGTTATATACAGTTGAATTTTTGTACTTATGAGCTTCAAGAGTTAATGCCCCCCAAAACCCCCAAAACTGTAGTGTTAAGAAGATGGAATAAACAATTACACAAAAAAAAGAGAGGTTGGAATTGGAATAAACTTACACTAACACTCTCTGAAGTTTTTGGTGCTTTCATACAAAAATCTGAGGTTTCAGAAATTACACTAATTCCTCTATGGTTTCAAATTGTCTTTACAAAACCCATTGCATTAAATTTCCGTCTTGAAGTTAATTTTTTCATTTTGAGAAGTTGTTGTGATGACATTAGAAGTTTTTGGAAAGAAAATGAATGGAATGGGTTTAATGAAAACTATTTTTAAACCTAAATATTGTTAGTGTAATTTCCGAAACCTCAGTTGTTTTATGAATACACTAAAAACCTGAGGGCCATTCAGTGTATATAACTCGATAAACTGTTACTGGTAATGTTCTTTTATCACACTTATGTTGCCAAACTATAGAATCAAACTGATGAATTTTCGCAATTCACACACTAACAATGCAAGTGTCGAGGTGAAAAAAATCATATGAGCGAATTAAGGATGAGGCTTCATGTCTACCTGTAATTCTTCAATAACAAAGGGTATGCCTCCAATGGACAAGCAGATCATGAGACCGTAGATGAAACCATCACACTTTCCTCTTGCCACGATTGCTTGATAGTTTGTCCCAATCTTGAAAAAGAAAGAGCCAGCACTCACTGCAACTAAAATGTAAAACACACTCCTCAACCAGTAGTACCCAATATCTCTAGACATATTCAGTGAAGATCGGCTAATCAATGTGCATAGCTTCCTCCGCCAGCTGCTAGTATTTTCTTTGTTTGATTTTGTGGCAGGTTTTTCCTGCAATGTTAAGATTTCTCTCATCCTTTTTCTTGCGTTTGATGAAAATTTGGAGGACTTGTATTCGTTGATGAGTTTTCCTTTGATCTCATCTGTTGTCAAATTCATTTCGGAATTTAAAGAGCCTGATGATCCCTGCCAAGACAATCCCAAAAACAATTCATTAATAATAAAGCAAGCAAAACCAAACCCTTCTGAAGAAAAATTAAAGAAATTTACGTACATAGTTAATTCTTTTAGATATCATAAGTGCCGCGATAACTTGGTCAAAGTCTGAACCAACACATCGAAGGAAGTGGTCTGGAGGATTTTTTCTGGTTGGACAAGGAAATCCGGCATCCGCAAAGAACTGAAGAGTAAGAATTGAAGAAACCATCAACTAATTAGTATGTCTGTCATTATCTTACTTGTTAGAAATATGCGATCGAGGTTCAGAGTAGTCTCAGATTTCGAAAAACGAGATATCGGTGAACTGGCAACTCTATTAAGAAATAATAATCTTACCTGTACAGCCATCTTTGCTTCTCCAAAATAAACAGTTTCACCTCCTGCTAGGAGAAGCAGATCATTGAAGAGATTAAACACATCGCTACTTGGTTGATGGATGGAGCAAATGACTATCCTTCCATCATGAGCAATGTTTCTTAATGCCCATATCACAAAGAAAGATGAAGCACTGTCCAGGCCGCTGGTGGGTTCATCTAGCAACAAGACATGAGGCTGTGTTAATATTTCAATGCAAATGCTAAGTCTCCTCTTTTCTCCATTACTTATACCCCTCAAATGCCAGTTTCCAATGTTGTTTTCAGCACAATCTTGGAGACCCATTTTTGTGAGGGTCTCATCTACCACCTCATTCTTGTCATCTTTAGTCATTGTGGAAGGAAGCCTGAGATGAGCTGAATATTCTAGGGTTTCCCTAACTGTGAGTGATCCCAGGAAGAGGTCTTCTTGAGTTACATAAGACTGAAAATGCATGCATATCAATATTATAATCAATTTTAAAAAAAGATTAAATACTTCATGTTAATTCTAATTATGCTTACAATGTCTCTGCAGTTTAACCTTCTTTTGTTGCCGTTGAGTATAACGTCTCCGGACATTTTGACATTTGCAGGTAGTCTACCTGTTAATAAATAAGGAATTCTCAAGATATTATAGGCATACCAGAAAAAATAAATCAAGCGTGAGACGGGCTTGGTTATAGAAAAAAAAAAATTTACACCAAGGGATGTAAGATTACTCCAAGGATCATCCTTGCACAAAAAATAAGTCAAATCAGACATCATTACTCATCTAAATTCTAATAGTGATAGAATAACTAGACAAATGCAATATTTCTTATAAACAATGAAATAATCATGCTGATAATAAAATGTCTCAAAGTTGTCTGATTTGAAGGATTATTTATTTCTAAAGATAATCCATGAATAATGACCTAAAAAATGAATGGTTCCGATAATGAGAGAACATTATGAAGTGGGTCCAAATAAATAGTTAGCGTCGTATTAAGTTACTACCTAGTTAGCCATGCAAAAAAACAAGGAGAGACCCTAGACCAAGCTAGGAGAGAACCAAAACCTTGCAAAAAGCAAGGAGAGAAACAAAATCCAGCAAAAAAAATTAGAGGGGAAAACTCTCTGCAACGTATTTGGGGGTGAGGGGGGTGAAGCCCGAGACTAATATATATACATAGGTGGTTTTTTTAAATAAAAAAAAAAAAGTTAAGGATTTCCTTGTTTCAAGGGTTATATATCCGTGCAAAAAGAATTGTCCATATTGGAAATATTCGGTCATCCAAAATGTGCAGAAAAAAGCACAGGTCGTTAGATAAAATAGAAATAAAAATGCGGATAATCAAATGGCTGAACAATTTCCGATTTAGTAGAATTTTTTTGGGAGATTCACTATAAAACCCAAATTATAAAAAAACCCTATATGAAATGGACTTTAGAAACACACCCAAAGCCCATTTACAATATAACAAAAAGGCTTATAACTTATTTTAAATTACAAAACTGTCATTGATTTCTTAAAACAAACCCAACCCAAAAACCTCATAAAAAAGCCCAAAACACTTAATGGGGCATCAAAGTAATTTAATAATTAAAATTAAATTCAATAGGGCCAGTTGTTATTTTTTGGGCTTTTTTTGGGTATGTTTATAGAAATTAAATGGTGTAGGGTTTATTTATAATTTTAGTGCCAAGAATGGATATTTGACTAAATATCTTTTTTTTTTTTTTTGCATGAATCATGATTGAAAGAGAATCTAAAACCTGGATGGTTCTGATGGTTGGATTACAATCCAAAAACCTAGGATGTCCTGTTTTAAGAAGAAGATATCCTTAGGGAAGAACACCCTCTATATACTAATTAGATAGATAAGTGACCAACTGAGACCAACTGACCTTTGCTCAAATGGTAACGTTGTGTACATTAATTTTCGTGAATAGTAGCAGGACTCAACTCACATGCAGTATGGCTTTAC